TCTGCTCTATCATCTTCTTCCATCTCTCAGGAAGCTTCATTATTCTCTTTTTCCAAAATTGTTGCGCTTTATTTGCAAAATATTCCTCGAGATGCGATTTTATTTTGCTTATGGATTGGAACCATTTATCATGGAGATAATTTTTTAATAACAGGAACAAGTAATAGTCGGATAGAGCAAGATCTGGGGAGTAGATGCGATCCCAGTAGAACATCCTAATCAAATTGTAACAGCTTTTCTGTTACAATCAATGCAACATATAGTTTTGCATTGTCATGATGGCCTCATTGGTTCATCAATTTTGCTATAACATATTTCAATTTATTAAGCTGATTGCAATATTTTCCAAAATCGGTTTAAAAATGGTTTCACTTTGAAAAAGGAACTCATAGTAGACTATATCTTTCCAATCTCACCAAATGGATAAAAAAACTTCGGATAAAGTCTAGGTTTCGCGACAATTGAATTCTTCTATTGTCCTTAAATCAAGTGCATTTTCGATGCATATTTTGATATTTGAAAATTCAAGTCTCATCTCCAATGACAAGTCTCTTTAAAAAAGAATCTCTTTCATGTCGCTAGAGAAGGAAATCGCACATAGAGACGCGGTTCATAAAGTCGATCTCTGTCTCTCAATAGTTGTGGAATCCAAACTTTACATCGATTGACATATTTCATCTTGATCAAATGATTATTTACCTGGAAATATTATCCACTATCTCTTGCACATTATATCGCGAATTTTCAACGAGCATGGTCCGTATTGATAAAGTCCATATTCGTCGTTGCTGAGCAACTGCTGCGACCTTCATCTTTCAAATTAAAATTGCCAGTTCTAAATCTCTTAAACCAATTGCGGATAGTCGTAATAGTTATAGCACTACTCCCGTAAATAGTATAAATCTTGTCTGCAATATCATTTATACTATCACCTTTTTTAGAGTAATAAAGCATAACATGCCGCAAATACTTCCTTTGACTATTCATATTGAACGGTATAGAAAAAAGTTTTAAAAGAGACTGTCACTAACGAAACATACTTTAAAAGAGCTCTGGAATGACTGAAATTGATGCCATAAATAGCTAATAATATAGATAAACCTGTTCAAAAATAACCAGTTAAAGTCATTCCTAGCATGGTGCAAAAGAAATTTATGGACACTCTAATACTATTTCAGTTTCCTAAATTTCAATATAGAATCAATATAAGAAATAAGACTTTAGACTTAATATCAGTTATTTATTAAAAAATGATTTTCAATACAGTAAATAATAGAATTAGTTTTATTATCTAACTTATTGTGTAAAAAGTGAAAAATTGCATGACATCCAAAAAATTATATGTTATCCAATTAAATCAAAACTACCATTCACAAAAAAAAAATAGATGAATACATAGAATAAATTACGCAGAAAAATCATATAAATAATAATATCATGCAATATACAACGAACACTAATGTAAATAGCTCATCAAATTTAGCTCAATATCTTAGATTTTAATATTGGTTTGCGCAAAATATATAAATAAATAATATTTTGAAAATAATTTGAGCTACAAAAATATTTAATGAAAAATATAGATTCTTAAAAATAAAAATAATAGAAAAAATAAAAAATAAAAATTTTTATTTAAAAAATGAAATGTTAAAAATTAAATCTTATAAGATTTTATATAATTATATAAGATATTTTATAATTATATAAGATTTTACAAATTTAACGCGAAGTTAAACATATCATTACAGTATATCTCAAATCATATTTAATACAATACACATACAATCATATTCAATCAAAATTTATCTAAAATATTTTTTTGTATCAAGCATAGTTTATGAAATATTTAAACATTTTCATATGAAATGAACATTCTATAAACATTTCTGGTTAAAATTAATTCATAACAAAATTCAAATATCAATTTCAATCATTAAAAATTCAAATATCAAATTCTTTTAGAAGCTTAACTCAAGAAATATATTTTTTATACTGAAAATTACTTGCTTATAGATTGTTAAATTGTGAAACAGAAATGTGTTGATAAAAAAAAGTAATATCTTTAAAAAAAGCTTCTTTAAAGCTTCTTAAATCTTCTTAAAGCTTCTATAAACAAATTTCTAAAAATAAAAAAGAAAAGAAAAGAAAGAAAGACAGACAATCGAAAACAATTTTTTTTATATTCATATA